TAGCGCGCCACCACTCGTTCCGCGCCTGGCCGGCGGAGCGCTGCCATTGGCCGGCCGGCCGAGACGCAGCCGGGCTCCCATTGGCTGGCCTTCCCCGCGCCACCGCGCCACACCCCGCCCCGCCCCGCCGCCGCGCCTCGTGCCGGAGCGCCGCGGTGTGACGGGGTGGGGGCGTGGCGCGACGCGCGTGCCGTGCCGGAACGCCCCGCCACGCCCCGCCACGCCACACACAGACCCCCCTCTCAGCCGCCCCGCGCCCCCTCGCACCACCCTGTTATACATGCCTTTGGCGCATCCGCCAGAATGAAACTTTCAAGTTATAAAACTTTATTAATTAATAAAGAAACAAAACTGCATCAAAAAGAAGATATTAAAAAAATAAAATGCTGTTTTTCGCGTATGCGTAGTCTGTTTGTTTGTGAGATGGTAAAATGCGGCAGGGTGTTGCCTCTCATTGATCCGCATACACGATGCAAATCAACAACATAACCTCGTTTTATGTCGTTGTAGTGATGCGCGTGGGCATTCCCTCGACGGCGCCCCGCAGTTTGTCCACCCGGGGCCACATAAAACGGCTCCAACCGCTGGGCCTCCGGGCGTTCCGTGCTGACCCGCAGTACTGGAGCAACGTGTGCTTTTACTACGAAAGTCAGGTACAATTATTTCGATGTCGATTTTCAGGGCGGAGGATATGAAATTATTTCAAAATAGTATGATGTATAGACTTACAATGTCGCCGCTACGCGAGTGTGTAGGCCCTCGTGCACGCAATCCCGCGACTTAATCCTTGCTTAAGGAGAGTTTCAGAAGGCCAAAGAGGGGGGGGGGGCAGAGAAAGAGAGAGATATACAGAGAGAGACACAGAAAGAGAGAGAGACAGTGAGACAGAGAGACAGAGAGAGAGGAGAGGCACCGTGCCGAAGCGTGTACAACCGGGGAGGGAGACGCCACGGCCATGGCTCCTCCCTCTCCCCTTCCAGGGCAGCCCCGCCACGCCCCGCCACGCCCCGCCACGCCCGCCACGCCACGCCCCGCCACGCCTCGCGTGCCCGAGCCGTGCTGCGCATCCCTCCCCGACCACAACGCCCCGGAGCGGCCAGCGTGGCGGACGTGCTGTGGCGACGCGTAGCGCGGCAGCGATAGTGAGGGAAGGGGTACCGCGACCATACCGAGTGAGTGAGTGAGTGATTGAGTGACCACCGTGCGAGTGACTGTGAGTGCCACGCCAGAGGAGCTTGGAGATAGCCGTGACCAACCGCGGAAGTGACACTGAGAAGAGTGACTGCAAGCGACGAGTGAAGCACTGACCCCAGAGGATCCTAAGCAGTCATGCTGCCATCATCCGCTGACTTCCCAAGAAATTGAAAGGTAAGCATATTTTTGGGGCTAAAGTTTTTACGACTGTGAGGCTGAGAATTGGCCTACCCGTACAAACACAGTTTTTTCGAAATGACATCTAAGTGTGTCGGTTTCAAGACTTTGCTCGTTATTTTGGTGACCTGCTTTCATGTCCTGTTGACATCAAATGTCATCACGTGATGTCGAACTAGCGTCATTGATGATGTCATTTCGACGAAACTGTCACTGTATTATCTGGACTAGGAGTTGACATTCCCTCATCGTCGGGAAGGCCTTCGCCACCTGCCCGGGGAGCTGCAAGTGCCAAGTGCTGTGTCAGTCCCATCAGAGACTATATATTACATCAGCCTTCCGTGGAGGTAATAGCCTCCCAATCACTTTGTTAGATGAGCCACCCCATTTCAGCCAATCCTCAGCTGCCGATCGCGTGCGGACTCCGGGCGGTCATGGAGCAGGAGGTACAGGAGGGTAGGGGGAGGCGAAGGGGGAGGGCGAAGACACCTCTCACAACCTGACATGATGTGTCAATTTCGCCGTGCTTCGCTTTCTTTCTTCCAAAAGCTCTTCGCTGATACTGCGTGTCACGTGAGGAAAAGCGGGGTCGTGGTGGATTTCAATCAGAAGAACGAGACTTTGCCTACTGGTGGAGACAGTCTTTGGAGGACTGTCTGAAAAGAACTCATTTTTCAACTAGGCCTACTCATATCTACGCAATGCTCTGGATTTGAAAGGATACACAACTTTACCCGGTGCTCATGCTCAATGAGCGGCTTTAAAGACGACCGCACCCCATACCGCCACGGCGCGTACGCCAGCACGCCGGCCACCTTCCTGGCCGCGACCGCCCTCCTCACGGGCCGGGCGGGCGCCTCACCGCGCTTCCGGGAACGTCCTGGACGAGCAGGGGCAGGGCTCCCGGGCGGGCAGCTGCACACGGCGGGCAGCCCCGGCGGCGCGCCCTCTCTCGCCTAGGAGGGCCAGGCCGTCTCGTCTAATATCGTTTAGGGCTGCAATTAACGGCGAGCCAGGGGCGGCGTTATTCGCAGAAGTCCGTTAAACACGTTAAAGACACGCCACACGAAAGCCACGGGGCCAGCCCAGCCAGGCAGGCAGGCAGGCCAGCGCGGCCCCGGCCCCCGGGGGGCGGTGGCAAGCGGCAGCAAGCGGCGGCGCGCGTCCACATCGCCACCACCGGAGCGGGAGACGGACGGAATGAAATCGAGCAGATGATGACAATCGTGTCACTGGCTCCTCGCGCGGCCCGGCAGCGCCCGCCAGGGCCCACCGCCTTCTCATTAAGTCGTTGGGCCTTTGTTTACGACGTGTTCGCCTCGCCCCCGGGGCTCCGCCGGGCTCCGCCGGGCTCCGCCGGGGCCTCCTCCGGTCGCAGGGCATTCGCAGGTAACCACGGTAATGACGGGCTATCGGCCCGCCGCGCGCTTTACCCCTAATGCTGCCGAAAGAGGGGAGGAGGGGGGTGAGGGGCGCAAGCGAGTTCGCGACGACGACGACGTCTTCAAAAAAGAGGCCAGGGCAAAGAGGAGGAGGGTGGGTCGCTGCCGCGACGACAGTCTTCCCTGGCGGCCCCGAAAGCGAAAGCCAAAGTCCCTCTTTAGACGTCCGACCAAACCGCCGCACTTGTATACACCAGTAGCTTCGCCGGTAGCAGCGCCCCCTGGGAGGTCACCTGCTGGCCGCCGGCGTCGTCGTCGTCGCCCCCGCCTGCCGCGCCCCCGGAAGTGTCCGTTCGGGTTTGTTTCCCCCAACACAATCAAGGCCGCAAGGGCGCTCGCAATTACGCAGTGAATAAGCCCCCCTCCTCCTTTTACGTCTCCGTTCGAGTCACCATCACCATCCCTTTAGTTGGTAGGCAAAAAAATCCCTGGGAGATGCCGTCGTCCTGATATTATTACAACCCTTTCGAGTGAGACATCACTAACGGGACGGGGGGCGTCGTGGCCACACACACGGACACCTGGGGCACAAACAGGAAGGAGGAATCTGTCTTCTAATTGAAAAGTAATTTCCACCGTTTATTCGAAGAAAGCTTCCCTGCACCGGCTCGGAGACCCCCGTGCGTGCCGTTTAGCTTTAGGGCCTCCGGAGCACTCAGGGGAGGCTGCTCCGGATACTACATCAGCAAAGATATACACGACGATAAAGAAAAAGGGAGCGTTTTCAAACAGATTTGATGTTTATCTTCTTGTGTTGCACGGTCTCTGTGTGAAGTCGAATAAGGTTTGTCCAGAATGAATGACAACTACATGTTTTTATTTGAGCGCAGTTTCCAATGCTCACATTGTACCTGGTGGCTGATTGACCCCGCGCACTTCTGTAGTAATACTTTTGCACCGCATGCAGGAGTGCCGATGGTTTGCCACCCTAACGATGGCGCCGAGCGAGTAGGCAACCCACCCGCACGGAAGGGATGCGGTACAGCATAACTACAAGGAGTTTGTCCAGCCACTCTTTCAGCAATACCTAATCTTTTCGAAGTATTTTTAAAAATATGAAAGCTACTATATAGTCAAAACTAGTCGATAAAGTACCAGCCTGATTTTCGCATCTTTCCCACCGGGCCCGACCACCGGAAACCCCAATGTACCCTCTGTACACAAATGTTCATTCAGACCCCAATCACAGCCCGCCGAGCCTCTCAGCCGACCACCTCGTTTCGGAGGGACGAAACGTATCGGAAGTGACTCGGGAGAGCCGTTAGTTCCCATACCCGCCCTCCGGACCGGCGATGCTCACTTTCAGGTAGATCGCGCGGGAACTCTTTCCTTCGGTGTGTGGGGGCGGCCGGGCCGGGGCCGAGGCGGCTCGGATATAACAAGACGGCTGCAATTGTTCGCTAAGTGGTTTTGCGGTGACGGCCCTTAGCGCCAGATAGGGGGGTGGATCTCGGCGGGTAGAGGGAGGGGAAGAAGTAGTAGGCGCGGGTGTCATTTCAAGAGGGATGTTTGCTGTTGGGATTCGAACCCACGACGTCCGTCGCCTTGTGATATGCGATGTGTCGTGCCTCGAAATGTATATAGCTAATGTTACCGTGCGTATGGGCCGGTTGCGTGCGAGGCCGTGTGTGTGTGCGCGGTGTTTACAGCTGAGAGGCAGGTGCCATCTATCGTTTTAGATTGGAGGGCAGTCGCGGGGGTGGTGCGGAAGGAAAGGACGGGTGTCCGGCAGCAGCAATACGAGCACTTGACACGCGCTGGACGGAAGCTCCGCACCTGATGGACGCTGACGATGTTTATTTAATAATTAAAGCGCATTTTATTTACGCGATGTGACCTCCGCAGCGCGCCCATCATCGTCTCTGTCCCATGGACGTCCTGCGGACCCGGAGACTTGCACGCAGGAGCCCGCGCGCTTTCGTTTGGAGTACTATTGTATGTCTTTTCTGCTCATCTAATTGCAATCGTGTTTCTTTTTCTACGTTTCAGGAGGGGGCCGCTCTCCGCCGAGACCATGCCGCACACAGGTCAGTGAATGTAGCCATGGAAGTCCTTCCTAGATAGGGTGTTGCTTTCAGAAACGACTGATACGGAAGTTCTTTTTAAAAATGTTGTGTTCCTCCTGCCTGTCTACTTGGGTCATGCTAGCCGTATAAATATAAAAATGGATATATCCATAGAGTCGAGTACACTCTAATTATAGACAAGCTGAATAAATTTATTTCCAGGTGTATAATTTTGGAAATCTAATACACACTGAAAACTTCTGGACTTTTTGGTTCATAGCTTACTAAAAACTGTTAACATTACGAATTTTTAATACGCATTTCTTCATACTGGCGCGAACTAAATAAAATCGTAAGTTGAACATGTTTATAGATTTAAGTATGCTCTGAACAGGATTTTGTGTGTATACGCAACCTGGGGCTTTTCGACCAATCTGCGAATACTGTATCGGCCGGACATGAGACACAGACGGTTATGTGCAGCCCGGGCCTAAGACTGTCCTAATGACATGCCTCGGGGGCAGCCGCAGTCGGCAGTTATAATGCCGATTCAGCAGGGCGGGAGACGGCGGTGGCCGCGGCGGTAGCGGCGGTCGGAAGGGACGGTTACGACCGTCATCACTGACCACCGTGGTCGGAAGAGACGGTTACGACCGTCATCACTGACCACCGCCACCTCGGCTAGAAAGCTGCAAATAGGCATCACACACTATGAACTGAAAGCATATCCCTTTGGACGAAGTTTCCAAACTGAATCGTGATTAGATAACCCGACCCTGCTGCTGCGTGACCAATGGCCAAATGACCATCGCCCTCGTACCCCGCTGACCCCCGCCCGCGGATCTTTTTGACCTCACGACCTTTTTTTTTGTTTTGTTTTGTTTTACACCACCGCCCTGCCCCGTGTCGCCCCTCCGCACCATGAGATCCCCCGGATAAGCCCCTCATTACGTTATGACGCTCCTGCAGTGCGAGGGAGACAGCTGCCGGCAGGTGCGCCGGTGTCGCCGCGTGCACCTGTGGAGGCCGGCCGCTGCACCCCGGCCGGCACACCACGCCGGGGTGAGTGAGTGCAGCGTGGTAGGTGATTAGTCGGAGATTGATTTTTTGCCGTCGTGCCCTCCACCTCCTCCTGTTGATGGCCCCCGCACGTACGCGGTCACAATCGGTCATTTTTTGGGAGAAGATTTTTTTATAATTATTTTTTTTTTTGTAAAGTGCACCAGATGGCCGCGGACCTAAACGTCCGCCCTCTACGCGGACACCGCAGGGGCTCAGTGAGCAGAATGCTCGTGTGCCGTCGTTGCTCGCTTTTTTCTACACACGAGCGGGCAAAAATTAAATTTGAACACCAATTTCTCGCTGGACGAATGACAATTATCCGTTTGACACGTCCGGCTGCTGCTGCCGCCTGGGCCTGCTGCCGCAGTGTCCACCACGCCAGCAGGCCGCGCCGCCCACGCCAGGCAGACCACACATACGAAGTACAATAATTACCGTTATAAATTGCAGCACGCTAGACCCCCACACTCCGCGTCCACGCCGTGTCCACGCCGTGCCACTCCGCGGCCGCGGGCTGAGCTGTCCGCTGATGGACAAGCTCATGTAATGTCGCTCTGACAACTCCATGCTGTCCTTCCTCCTCCCTACGACCCAACTACAGTAGTACTGCGTGCCGGTGGTCGACGGCGATAAAACGCCGCGACGAAGCGACGTCGACCGTTCCGAAACGAACCCGCGCGGCACTCAAAAAACCTGCGGGTTCGAACTGCGCGGCGCAACGGGGCTTTTCCCCTCATCACTGCTATCTTTTTGTTCTTCTTTTCCCTCCGCCGGACCCCGCGCCCGGCCGTTGATCAGATTAAGCGACAGGCACGTCTTGTTGACTTTGGACCGATCTTAATTGAGACATTATTGGGAGAGCAATTTCGTACGCCTTGTGTTACAAGCATGCGGTCGCCAAAAACTCGACCGTTAAAGTGTTTTTCCTCTCTTTTTGTTTTTTGGCCTGGGTCTTTTTTTACGCGCGCATCAGCTATTATCGATTGGCCATCGCATCCCCGCACTGTCAAAATTTTTCCGCCAGTTTTTCCTCATCGACACACATCCTGGTTGGTGTCATATTTTTGCGCGGTACAAGCGGCCGAACTAGCCAATGAGCAAACACGGTCGTTAACTAGATTGTCCCTCCGGGGCCAAGAGGGGCAGAAGGCGGGCGCGCGCGCGCGCACGCACCGAGAGTGACAAATCTGTCACCCCCATGGACACTGCCGACCGAGGACATATTTCAGGGGCTCGTAATTATCGTGCGATCCACGGCCGGAAAAAAAAGAGTGATACTTCACAAACTTTTATCACCGAAGAAATCGAATAATTTCAGGTTTTAGCAACTCTCTTTGCTCGAAAAAACAAAAATCGCCTGACGCCCGGCCCGGACGCGATCTGCTCCCGTTTACGCAAAAAGAGAAGTAAACAACGACCTTCTTTTCTTTTCGAAAGATAATAAAAACGCGTGTCGGAGAAAGGTGTTCGATCGCGTGCCTCGCCTCAACGTCTCAATCGGCCGCCTCATTGAGCCAGCTGTCCGTCAAAAAGTTTTGTGCAGCAGCCAATCCGCACTGGGAGCGAGAGAGAGAAGAGGGAGAGAGAGAGCGGCGTGCGTGCGGTAATCACCTGGCGGGAGAGAGAGAAGATGAGACAACGTAAAGGATGCCGCCACCTTGGGCGTGCGGCCGAGCCGCCGCCGGCGTTAGCCCGCGTTAGCCCCGGGGGGCACAACCCGGCACTGCCAGAGACGGACAGCGGCAGCCAGGGGCAGCAGCACCACGACGGACAGGCATTTCTCATACTGCATGAGCTGCTGGCTGCTGCTGCAGCGCAGTGCGTGCCGTCTAGTGACCTGGATCCAGTCCGGAGGAATCGTGGGGGATCCCTTGCGAGGGTGTCATGTGGTGCGACTCCACAACACTGCCGTGCCTTCGTCACGGGTGGGAACGGCAAAGCCGCATCCCGCTGCCGATGCCGAGGATCAGGCTGCTGAGGACTCAATCCAGAGAACAGGTGTTCGGGGAGACACCGCCCCGGGGGCAGAGGCACGGCAGAGCACGCGAGCTCACGGACGGGCGCGCTACTACCCTGGGGGCGGCGGGGCAGCCAGCAGGCTGTGAAAGAAGTCTGTGCGACATTTTCAAGGCGTTTCCGAGATGTCTTCACGAAAATAACCGAATTTATACATCGCAAACCGCAAAGTGTTTCGGCACACGGGCCGGGGCGGGCGGGTTTACCTACAACTCCTAGACCGGTGCACCGAAGCGAAACACCCGGTATTACTAGAGCGGGCGGCGGCTATCATCACTAAACCATATGGCACCTCCGGGGGCGCCGGGCGCGTAGGCAACCTGCCCGCACGCCTGCACTCGGACGGCATACCGGCACGGGGCCGTCCGTCCTGTGGATATACCGATTAATATGGAGCGTTGTACAAATCCCCCCTGATGACCGTTTTGTGTTGCAGGCCAGGCCGGGGTGAACCAGCTCGGGGGCGTGTTCGTCAACGGGCGGCCGCTGCCGGACTGCGTGCGCAGGCGCATCGTGGAGCTGGCGCTCATGGGCGTGCGGCCGTGCGACATCTCGCGCCAGCTGCTCGTCTCGCACGGCTGCGTGTCCAAGATACTCACGCGCTTCTACGAGACGGGCTCCATCCGGCCAGGCTCCATCGGCGGCAGCAAGACCAAGGTAGGCCCGCCAGCGCTTGTTGTTTTAGACGCTTTATAGTTTTTAAATTTCGACACTATATTGATTGAAGTTTAGAGTTTTCAAAAGGAGTCTGAAAATGTTTCTGGAAAAATTGGAAACATGTAGAGCCACGCTGCGCGTTGGCTCACATTAGGATAGTTTGAATTTGCCGCGCCACATCCAAAAATAATCTTTTTGAAAAACTTCCCAAAAATTTTCCCCAAAAATACGTTACTGGAAAATTCGAGGGAAAATTAAAATTTATGTTAACATTGCCATGTTGTTCACCGGGATAGTCGAGCTTAGCATTGAGTCTCAGGACCTGTTAAACGATTCTCCACTTCCAAAAAATCCCTGCTGAACTTACCTTGTGAGGCTGCCGGCGCGTCGTCCTGGAATCAGGGCACACTCCGCCCTCCGCCCGCTCAGAGCTCGCCGCGCACTGAATATTGAATATCGATTAGCCTCATTAGCATAAGCCGCAGTCAGGTGTGAAGACGCGATTAATTTATCGCTTCGAGCAGGGGCTGCGTCGGGGAGTGCGCCAGGGGGAACCCCTTGCTGACGGCGGACGCAGCCCCGGCCCGGCGGCGGTCAGGAGGCGTGGGCGGCGGCGGCCAGCGCGGCGGGGCTGTGGGCGGGGACACATGGGCCTATCTGTTGAGCAAATAGCGACCAGGGCGGGACGGGGCGGGGCCGGCGCCATAAAACACTTTCAATAAATTCGGTTGCCACCGAGCCGCTAAACGCGACTGTTCTGGGGGCGTGGCGGGGAGGACTTTATTATTTCGAAAAGGGGAAAGCAAAGCCCGGCAAAGCTGTTTGATTTTGGACACGCGGACCAAGAGACACAAAGACAGACAAGACTGTTCGCTTCTGTCGAATCTTATTTTTCATTTTCATTGCGATTAACACCTTAATTCCTACCATGATCGTTTCTTTTTTCAAGGCAATGCTCTCTGTCTCTCTCTGCGTCTCTCTCTCTCTCTGTCTCCCTCTGCCTCTCTCTCTCTCCGTCTCTCTCTTTCTTTCTCAGTGTCTCTCTGCCTCTCTTAGTTTTCACACTTTGGTGTCGACCTGCTTCGGGGGGTCGGCTGGTCGCCAATTAGTAAAGCGCCGAGCTCATGTGGGTTGTAAAAAGAGGGGTCATTCGTAATGCACTCGAAACACACACTCACACCCGCTGCCGCAGGTTATATGGTGATGAAGTAGCTGGACCGTTTTACAGCACTTTTGAGTCGGCATGAAGACAGAGCGCGGCATCCCCAGTCCATTTCATTAGGATGTGTTCCGACAACCAGACGCGACGGTCTTACATCATATCAGCTTCGGTTCAATACTTTTCGAGGTGATCGCGCGGTAGACGCAGACGCAATGCGTGGCTGATTCACGCCGCGCACTTTCGTAGTTCTACTGTACCGCATGCACGCGTGCGGGCAGGTTGCCTGCCTACTCGCACGGAGCCATAAGGAGCCGTGGGCAGTGAGGATAGGCAAACCCATTCGCACTCGTGCATGTACAGTGTAACAACGAAAGTACGCGGCGTGAGTCAGCCACCTGGTATTTGCAACTGCGACTAGTCCTCGACTTTAGGCGGTACGAAGTTTGTACTAGAATGTTGGTGGGAGGAGCGGCTAGGGTGGAGTGGAGTGGTGGCCGTCGCTGCCCCGGCAGCACCTGCTCGTTCGGCTCGGGTAAGTTAAGCAATTTTTTAATTTCCCTTCCCGCCCCTGCCCC